CCCCAAAACCCCAAAACCCCAAAACCCCAAAATGCTATCATTTTAAGATTTTAAAGCACATAAACTAAAATAAATAAATCAACGCTAATTATGATCTGACTTCTTTACTCTTAGAAAGCAAGAAACAGTCAAGCATAAGATAGCTACTATTAGTAAAACTATTAAAGGTATTTTATCTTGGAGTTCTGCCACTATTGGCGAAAAAATAGCTCCAAATCTTCCTAAGATATTGCAATAACCAAGAGCATAGCTTCTCACTTGAGGCTCAAATAACTATACATTAATGATGTAAATAGCATCAAGTAATGCTGAGACTGACAGTTTGTTGAGGAATAACAATATTGCAACAGCCTTCCAATCATCAGTGTTCAATATTAATATGGGTATCAATATCACCAGTAATCCCCAGAATAAAATCAAAGATTTCTTAGCTCCGAGGTACGTAAAAAATAGGCAAAGTAATGTATAGCCAGTTAGATCAGCTCCTGAAGAAAATCTAGTATTATCATAAATGCTGCCTGGCATATATTTCAACAAAAAGTTTAAAGTATAAAAAGTAAAAAGTACACCAAACCAGTTGATCATCATAACTAAACAATTTGCTCTTTGCTTTGGTTACTTCCAAATATTTTACCTGGTAGATTTCTTAATTCTTTCATTTTAACCCCCATTTTTCTGAATATGCTTTTTAAACTTAAAATCCTTCCAAGTCAAAGAATCATATGCTCCATTGAACTTTGCTATTTTCTTTATATTTCTTTTAGCCTCTATCACTCTGTTTAGACTAATCAAGTATTTTGGAGATTCTGGAATAAAGAAAGAACCTAGTAAGCAAAAGAAGCTAACTCCTAAAGTACAATAATATATGTGCCTCCAATCTATATCACCATATTCAAAGACAAATGATGTTATAATAGGGGCAGTGGCTTCTAAGAATCTACTTATAGTTGCATAATATACTTGGCTATCTGATGGCAAATGCTCCATTAGCCAAATATGTCCGACTGAACTCCTTCCAGCAGATGCTATTCCAAATAAGAATAGAGATGCGTATAGCAGATACAAGTCGTATGAAATAACCATGAGTAAATTTGAAAGAATTGATAAAGTCATACTGAATCTGTAGGTTGTTGCTCTTCCCCATATATCCCCAAGTGGATTAATAACTAGACTTCCGATAAGGATCCCGAAAAATAAATTAAAGCCTAAAAGGCCAACTTTCCATTAGGGTTCACAGTGTAAATCAAAATCAATTATCCAATTATTGAGGGTGTGAGTGCTGTTAAAGTTTATCCTCCAATCTGTTATATTGGGATTGCATACAAATTCACGAGAGCACTACTGATACTCAGTCATTGAATTGCTAAATCTGCACTCATACTCAGGATAGTTCTCCAGAAAGTGTAAATTAAATATCACAAAAGATCCAATGCAAAAGGAAAGAGCTTGAATAAAGAAGTGGTACCTTTGAAATGAGCCAATCCCACTTAGATCTTAAGAAGAAAGTCTCAATGCGTAATCAAAATTATGCACATCTTGTTCTCTTTATTGATTTAAGTCGTGAATCTGAATGTATTCTGCTTGGTGTGCTTCCTTGTTCATTTTTATATACTTAAATTTAACGAATAAGTAAATCTCAATTTGTAAAAATTTGCACAAATTACATAGCTGGGGTTTTGGGGTTTTGGGGTTTTGGGG